CAGGGAATAGCTGGATTGAATGAAACTTCCAATCCTAGTCTTCTGAGAATTCTCCATACTGATTTCCATAGTGGTTGCAAAGTCCACACTCCCACCAGCAGCAGTGGAGCAGTGTTTCTTTTTCCCCGCGTCCTCGCCAACATTTGTTATCAGCTGGTTTCTTGATGGCAGCCATTCTTTCCGGAGTGAGATGAAATCTCAGTGCTGTTTTAATTTGCATTTCTGGAATGGCCAGTGATGGTGAACATTTCTTCATGTATTGATTTGCCATTTGTCTATCTTCATCTGAGAACTGTGTGTTCATCTTAGTTGCCCAGTTTTGGAGAGGGTCTTTGATTTGGGGGCTTGATGTTTTTTAGTTCTTTATATGTTCTTGGTATAAGTCCTTTGTCTGAGGGATGCTGGCTATAATTCTTTTCCATTCTGTGGGTTTTCTTTTCACTCTGTTGGTGATTCCTTTTGAAGTACAAAAACTTTTCAATAATATCAGATCCCAGTTGTTGGTTCTTTTGAAATGTTTCCCGTGCAGTTTGCATTTTGTTCATGAATTCTCTTCCTACCCCTATGTCTCCAAGACTTCTACCTACCTTGTCTTCCAGAAGATTTAATGTTTCTATTTTAATATTTAGGTCTTTGATCCATTTAGACTTTGGTTTTGTGCATGGTGATAGGCATGGATCTAGTTTCAGTCTTTAGCATGTAGAGAGCCAATTTTTCCAACACCATTTATTAAAGAGGCTATCCTTCCAGTGAACATGTTTAGTCCCTTTGTCAAATATCAGGTGGCTAAGTGTCTTTCTAGTTGTGTTTGCATCTTCTAATCTGCTCTATTGATCCTCAGGTCTATTTCTTTGACAGTACCATGCTGATTTTATCACTGTGACTTTATAGTGTAGTTTCAAGTCAGGAGTTGATATGCCTCCTGCCTTGCCTTTTTACCCAGAATTGCCTTTGGTATTCTAGGTTTCTTCTGTTTCCAAATGAATTTTAGGAGTGTTTTCTGTAGATCTGTGAGGTATGTTAATGGTATTTTGATTGGGATTGCATTAAATCTGTATAACAGGTTTTGGGAGTATGGCCATTTTCACAGTGTTGGTTCTTTCTAGACAAGAGCAAGGAATATCCTTCCATTTTCTAATATCCTCTTCAATCTCCTTTTTAGCATAACATAATTTTCAGCATTTAGGTCTTTTACAGAGAATTCAGTTTTTAATATTTGAAATTTTGAATTACAGGGCTATAGTAGTTAGCACCTGTAGTGGTGATTTTGATGATGTTTATTTTTTCCTAGAGATAAGTAGGATCTATTTTATATGTACAGTATGTGTTTACACTGAAATATTTTTTCTTCATTACTAAGAGTTAAATGAAAAACTAGGCTGCTGGTGGGAAAAATGCTTCAAGAATAAGAGGAAGAAATGTAAATAAACCTCAAGTTAAAAAACTTGGTCAAAATGAAGACATACAGGAATGCCTTTTCCTGGAATCTTTGAGAAATAGGATAATTACTAGCTCACTATTCTGAAGCCTTTTCTATTTTCTGTTTATGACAATAAATACTTCGAGAGCCTTTTTGTCAATTGTGGGGTTGAGGGTGTAATTAAACATAAAACGAGATGTGTAGCCATATATTATGCCAGTGTTCTGGCTCTGTTATCCCTCATGTGTTTATCATGGTTTTTCTATATTTTGTTATAAAAAAACATTTTGAACACTTAGACAGTGATTGCATTTGTCATCCAATGGTCACATTAAATTTTATTCTAAATATTCCAGATAATTATTTGTATGATTTTAGTAAGGAAAAAAATATTAAGACTAGAGAACATCAATGCTAGACCTATGTGGTTAATTACCTGTGTTATCTTAAGCAAGTCTTTCAGTCCTTCCTGGGGGTAAGGGAGAAATGGAGGAAGGGAAGGGAAAGGGAGGGGAGGGGAGGGGACGGGAAGGGAGGGGAAGGGAGGGGAGGGGAAAAGAAAAGTAACTTGCTGAGGTGACAAATAGGAAAATTGCTTGTAGTGATTTTATTTGTGTATTAGATCTGCAGGCTGTATATCTTAAATATCTAATACCTTGCTTGTCGAATAGATTTTGATACAAATGCTATATAAGTATTTGGAATAATAATAATAATAAAAAGCAGAAATTTTGCATCCTCAAAGGTAAACAGATAAAAATGGAGGTACAGTGAGAGGAAAGGTGAACCCTTTGGGAAACTAAGGCAGCTCCCATTCCCCTTGGGCTCTGAGGCCAAGTCTGAAGACCACTGTGGGCGATCTCTCTTTCCTCCAGAGTCTAAAATGTTTTGCGTGATTACTACATATGTCATCCCGAAAGAAAATGTTTATAGTTACACTATATCTATCCTTTCAATGGTATGCACACATTTCTTAATCTATAGTGTGTCATAACAGATGGAATCAAATTTTTTAACTGCTGGTATGCATATAAGATTTTATTGGTTAGCCCAAGTTAATAAATAAATTTTTTTTTTAATTTTAAAGAGAAAAAAACCCAGAAAAATCAGGAAGCAAACAATCCGAAAACAACAACAAAAACAAAATGACAGCAACAACAGCACAACCAAAAACAATAGCTATGTGGAATTTCAAAACAAGATGACAGGAATATAGCAATGGTTGTTATCTTCAAAATAGTCGCTCAGTTTATCAAATACAAGCATGCAAGACTGATCAAATAATATACTTTCCCTTTGAGCAATTTTTCCCCTTTTACTATATCTATTATAACTTTTGAGTAATTGATTTTTAAAAACATGGTATTTTTATACAATAGAATATTATTAAGCCACGAAGAATGATAAATTTTAGACTTACTGATACTCAGAAGTGAAACCATACTCACAAGTGAAATAAATCAGATTTGCATGTGTAAACACTGTATTGTCTCTCTGGTGTAAGAAACTGAAAAAGTAAATAAAATCCAAAAGTTACAGTGGAATGGCTACTTTTAAGAAACATCTCATAATGTATCTGTCCTAGTTATTTTTTTTTTGGAAGTGTCACATTAAACAGAAATTAGTCTATGAAAGGCAAATTCAGCCATGGGTTCCCTGATAAACGATTTGACATATTTCTTCCTTTCACCACAACTCTGAATATTTTTCTTTGCATCTTCTTGTCTCACACCCTGACCTTCCTCCACCTGAGTATTCTGGGGGCCTCACAGTAATCTCTCTTTCCCCCCTTCTTTGCCATTTGCCACTGATCCTCTAAGAATTGTATCTTTCTTGCTGATCTAGTTCAGAAAGAGAAGAAAGATTCCATGACTGGTGGATTTTCACTCTCACTTGCTCTTGGAAGTGTTTAGATGCTAACATCCCCTTTTGGGATGCAGAACTTATTCTTCACAGAGAAATGCTATCATAAATGTACAACAGATTATGTAAGTTTTGTACTATCTAATACGGTGTGCACATTTACTTTATAAGTGAATGCTACAATGTGTGCTGGTATGCGGCTCTATCAACTGTTTCTACAGGAAAGTAAGGTATATGTTTAAGGCACCCAATATGTAGATGTGCACAGTATTGGGCAGTGAATATATTAATCAACAGATGAAGATATTAAGTAATTCTGCATCCATGAGAAAGTATCGTTTTCTTTTGCACGCAGTTTGGACTTAAAGTTTAGCACTTCAGGTCTAAGCCATGATTTTGTGTTTTTGTTTTTAGATTTTTTTTTTAGATATAGTAGGAATTGGATGCAATAAAATTGATCGTTGGTACTAAGATCTCATTAGGATTTGTGAAATGGACAATTGCCCTACATAAATAGCAAGTAAAACAAAATCAAGCCAGTCCTTCATAAAAATTTTATTCTGGGGTGTGCTTGTTTTCCAAAACTACCTCTACTAAATCTCCTGTCAATGCTGAAACTAGAAGGCAGAAAAGCTTCTAGCGCTACAGCCAACTGCAGTGTAGCCAGAGAAACAGGCAACAAAAATAGAACACCAGGATTGCTGTGCGTGGGTGAGGCAGAAACCACATTATGAGCAAAAGCTTCCAGTATTATTTTAGAACCAATACAGAGCTCTGCACTTCTCTCCTCTCTCTCTTCCAAAAACACATACTACAAAAATAAAATGAGATTAAATGTATGTGCATTTGCCCTTTTAGAATTATGATTCTTAATTTTTTCCCCCTTGCTTTTCTTGCTTTGGATGCGAATTGCCAGTGTGGAAACAGTGCATAAAGCAAGCGTGGAGGGAGGAAAGAGTTAATTGCTTTTAAGGCCCTACAACAGAGAATTATGGTTTGAAAGATAGAGGCTGGACAGCTGGGTTTGCTGGGGTATTTTTAAATGCATTAATGCAGGCTCCAATCTTTCGGCCATGCTTGACCTATTTTTGGCTCAGGCCGACCATTGTTCTATTTCTGTGCCTGTGGGCCATGCTGTTGTTGATTCATATGCAAATGGATTATCACTGGCTTTAGCCAACTTGAGCTGAGAGAGACTGAGAAAGGGAAGAGAGAGACTCACAGACAGGAGAGGGACGCCGGCTGGAGCAACTTGCAGGACCCAGGGCTCTTGCAAAGAAACCCTAGCTGCCTCAAGAGCTCTGAGCCAGGTTTAATTGCTTTCTTTTTCTCATGGGTAGAGTTAATATTTTTCTACTTATTCTGACAAAGAAATAACCTCGAAGCACATTCCCGTGTCCCACCTGCTTTTAGTTTCCGGGATAGCTAAAACTCCAGAGAGCTCTAGCATCCATTCTGTCCTTTCCACTTTGCACACAGGTTGGTAACATGGGGAAAGTACCCAGGTCTTTTAAAAAGTAGCTGTCCTCTTGAGCAGAAAGGAAATCATTGTCGAAGTTGATCCTGTGCTGCTGCTCCTCAGGGAGGAGGGAGGACCAGCCAGGGTAGCTCCTGGGGCCAGTGCACTGAGCAGTGATGAAGCTTTCATGTAGCTGAAGTAAGAGTGACTGGATTATGCTGCAGACAATTTACGAGAGTGACTCTTGTTTTTCCTCAGATGGGGTGGCTGGACGGGAGCAGCTCTTGGCTCAGCAAAGAATGCACAGTATGATCAGCTCAGGTAAGATCCTCTTTCATAACCGAGAGGTTTTTGTGTTGAAAAGGGGGCTATCCTGGAAAATGAGCTAAAGAAAAAAAAGAGCACCTCTTGTTAGAAATCGCTGCCTTTTGGTGGGATGTTGATGTTTTCTCAGTGCCGCTGTAGGGTTTAACTTAGATCCCTTCCATTGCTGTTTCTGTGCACATTCTGAGTCTGCACAAGGACGACTGCTTCTGAATGAAATTGCAAAGTATTGCTTCTGATGAGAGATGAGACTGAGATAAGTAAAATATAGTTGAGGGTGTTTTGCTTTACTATGCAGCTAGAAAAAGGAGATCTGTGCTGATTGTAAGCATATGCTGAAAGGACTTTAAATCAGGTAAGTTCATATTGGAGCTTCAGTTTAGATCGCAGCCTCAGCCAGCCTGATGATTTTATATTTACAGTGTGCATCTATTTATAGTCCTACCTTCTGAAATGTGTTTACCGTGGAGTTTTAAAGGTAGTTTTGTTCTTTTTCACAATTTGGCTTTTTTTCTCCTCAGCCCAAAATGAAACTGTTTAGAATGAAATGAAATTGTTATTAGCAGGTGCTTATTTTAATTTTTTTCAAAAACATTTGTGAAGTCTAGCATTGTCAGGCAGATGTAATGGCATATACACATATAAATGTGTTAGAAGCAGGTGCAACATTTTAAAGGATAACAGTAACAAATTCTAATTTTTGGTTTCTCTGTATATACTTGTACCCTCAAGGACGCATTGATGGGAGAAGCAGCTTCCCTGGGCAATATTAAATATTTTTAATTATTGCATTTTATATGTGTTTCCTATACCTAGTTCATAAAGCATCTGGGACTTTGCTTCTGTCCTCTTCTGAGTACTTCAAGCTGCATTTCCTTGAAGTTCTTTCTTGAAATCTTCAAAGTTCCTTTGTAGGCTTAATCATAGTTATGGATCACTGCTGTGATTCATATGATATGAATGTAACATAAAGCGGCATTTACTTTGTAAGGCTGGGTCTGGGTATAGAGTCAGATATTCCACAGGTTGGCATGTCTGCTCTGGTGCAAATACACATTCCCATCTGCAGATTCTTCTTGAAGCTAGTTTTCTTTAAATCTCGAATGGTCATGAGGCTTTTAAGATGTTTCTGACACAATTCTCACATAAAATGAGAATAGATCGACTTTTTACAATATGGTACTTATACACTTGACTGCAATTGTATAAATGAGTAATGTCTACTTAAAAGTAAACCTGCCAGAATTGCAGTAGTTTATTATTAGTTGGCTGAAAGCTGATAAAGACTTAGGGACAGGTCCACAGATATGTCTGGGGTAGCACTGGCCACTTAGCACTGTATTTTGAAAACTATTACAGGTATCTTTCAGTACTAAACTGTATCGTTTAAATCTTTGCCTCTGTGTATAAATTTAATATTTCTTTCAAATGACAGAAACATAGGTGGGTTTACCAAATAGCAATTACCTGGTGCCATTAGGGCTGGCTACAGGTGTTAGCAAGCTTTGCTATTTCTCCACATTAGATAATCACATACAGGTTTACCCCCATTTTGGTTAAGATTGTTATTCCCTGGCAGTTAGTAATGTGTATACAGAGAAGCAACATTTTCAAACAGAAGTATTTGAGACTACCCATTCTGTTGCAAGCTCTACAGGATGCAACACTGAGGCAATAGCTATTAAATGAAAAGTGATAGGGTTAACACCAACTCCCTAACTGGCCTGGGATAAATAAATACTCAAGGTCTGCTTGTTTTTAACATTTGAAGCATAAATTGCATTCTTCCTGTGAAGTTGAATAACATTTGATTTTGTTTCCTGGGCCATGCCATTAAATTTACTTCAGTGAGTCTTTCTTGTGTAATTCTGTAAGACACTGGTTCTTGCACATAAGAGTCACTAGGAACATTCTATGGAATGTAATGCTTATTATTCTACACTTAAAGTTTCTGTTTTAATTGGTGGCAGGTAAAGTATGGACACTGGTTGTTCTTAAATCTCTCTAGCTGTTGTAACCTTCAACGAACAGAACCACTGCTGCAGAGATAAAGTGTGATAACGATAGTGAACCATCATTAGAGGAGTTTGTCCTGTGTTTTAACTGCTAAATTAAGGGTGGGTTTGTCTAATATACTGTATCTACAAGTCCTGTTGAGCTCCCACCTGGACGGGAGACCTAGTTGTGATTCTTAGGATGAAAACTGATGGAACATTTGGATCTAAAGGAGGGAAGAGGTAGGCAGCAGTGCGAGTGGCAGAGAGTGACTGCCCGTCCTAAGAACCAAAAGTTGTATTAAAAAAATTCTGGTTCCTACAAGGTCTGCTGCTGGCTAATCGTTTAACTGTTTTTCTCATCTTCAAACAAAAGAATAACAATGTCCTCCAGCTTATCTGTGGTATTCTTGTGAGGTTCATATGCAGCAATAAAAATTTAAAGTATATAATCACTATTATCCTTACCAGTTTTAGTGACTACGTGTGAGATGCTGGCTCTCCCGTGTCGTCTTGTACCTTGCTAGACAGGTTAGATATGTTAAATTATAGGTTATAGGTCATAGGGAAAGTTAATTTTTATCAGGTTTATCAAGTTTCTTTAGTTATTGTGTAAATCAGCTATTTCTTTGGTGATCTTGGTCTGGTAGGTCTTTTCCTTACACAAATAGTGACTGTTAGGACAGTGTTTATGTGTGTGTGCTCTGAAATGTCTCATTACACGATTAACAATCAAAGAGAAAGTAATTGCAGTGTGTGATCAAATAGTGACACTTCAGTGACAGATTTCTCGAGATTACTTTAAAAGTGAGTTTTACTGTATAATTGTTGTTAACAATTTTCATTTGTTGTTCTATTTATGTAGGCTATTGCGTATCAATATAGATTATTTTTGTTCAGAGCTTTTTATATGTGTTTGAATTGCTGGTGCTGTATATAGTTGCATGTTTTCTTAATATTGACATAGTTAGGTTACACATGTTAGGTAGAACTGAGATGTTTAATACCTGGTTTTATACTGTAGTCTGCCAATGTCTCTTAGCTAAAAAAAATCTACAATCTAGAATCTTGGAATCACTGTGAATGACACATTTTGCCAAGTACATCTCCACTTCTGTGGCTCGTGTAGGCCAGGATAGGTGATAACTGTGGCAGAAAGAGAAGGGTGTGCAAATATTGACTCAGGTCTCTCAGGAGCTGGCAGAATCAGGGACATTTGCCTGTTACCAGGCATCTTGCTCAACACGTCGGGCAGCAGAGTGTCCTCACAGCATTATGAAGGAATTTCCAAGTTTGTGGGGGAAGTAATGTCAGATATAGGTGTAATAAGAAAACTCGTGTTTTCATCATGCATTCTTATTTTAGGTAAAAAAGAAAAAACTTTTAAATGTAAATCCTCGATTCTTTTCTTTCTTTCTTTCTTTTTTTTTTGGTACTTTGACTTGAACTCATGACCTTGTGCTTGCCAGGCAGGTGCTTTGGTGCTCAGCTAAATCCCCAGCCCTCTGGATTATTCTTTAAAATCCATTTTGTCCTTTTCTAAACCCTTCTGTTTTTTAGTGTGTAGTATCAAGAGGAAGGGAATATTTTCTGTTCAGTAGTCACTTATATGTCTACTTGCAGAGCATAATCCAATTATGAAAAACAAAATTCTGCGAACTGCTGCTGTCTGTGAAGAATCATTTCTCATGTGCCTCATAATTATTATTTTGCCATTCTCAATCTCAGATTATATTCACTGGTAAGACTGTTACTGGTTGGAATAGTGGATAAGTATCAATCAAAAACCAGTTACAAATAAGGCCCACTGAGACTGAAGACATGAATGAATATTTCATGTTTCAGAGAATGACCCAAGTAGTACGATTATTACTATGTCCATTAAATAATACATCTACAGATATCTGAAAGAAACTCAAATTCTAAATTTAAACTGTGATGAGATGAGAGATTTGAAAACACACTGCATAATTTCTCACCACTGATAAGTTATAAAGTGAGCAAAGACCTCTTATACCTGGAACAATATTTAACAGTAATGAACAATGAAAATTATATAACCCAGTTCAGCATACCTCAGAAACCAGTAGCCAGGGAGGCAAATGGAAGCAGTAGTCTGAACAGAACAGCCCATCCTGTGAATTCTACCATTCACATTTGAAAAAAAAGCAAAATGAGTGATTAACCTCCACGTTTTTGGTTGTTCATTTTTCCATTGTAAATGAGGAATAATAGAAAGGATTCTGGGGGAGAAACTGGAGAAATGGAGGAAAGTGAAGAAACATGGTTTCAGAGCAACACTCTCAACTGAGCCAGTGTTCCTAAGGTCCTTGGAATGAGACACCTCTTAGCCCATGCAATTGCCTAACTATTGTGTTCCACAAATAGCACACACTGAATAAGAAAATAAATTCCATGAAGCAAGATCTTAAAAATGAGAATGATAAAACAGGAAAATGAGATGAAAAAGGAAATTTAGGTCTAAGGAAATGATGTTTAAAAAAAAACTTACACAAAACTGGTGGTCAAAGTAGTAGGAAATAAAATAGTGGAAATTTTTACTGACAAGAAGGGAAAGGTTGAAACAACTAAACTGATTGGAAAAGGAAAATGAGTTCATGTGTTAGAGGAATGTATTTGAATGTATTTGAAAGCTAGAAACCAAATTAACAACAACAAAAAATAATTTGTGTTCTGGAAGTTGATATACCAAAATAGTATAACAAGATATTTTTGCAAAAATAAGGTAAGATAATTTCACTAAAAAGAAAATAAAACCCTGTAGTTTTGAAAGCATTCCTCTTTTAGGGAAATTTGATGCAAATACTCAGGGCAGAGTCACATCATGACTGGTCTATCAAATGATAGTAATTCTTTATGAGTTCAGGACAGGGAAAGAAGGTCAGGTGGAAGGATGGGATGTAGGGGGACTCACAAGGCCCGTCACCCTGACCCACGTTCAGTGTCAGAAGACAGCGAAGAAAACTCTAAGGTTCTGAAAGA